GCTGTCAATAGCATCCTTACTTCCCATGCTCAAGCGCTACTGATGCACCTTTCCTCCTAGAATTTTACAATCCCTTTTTGAATCTGGCTAAACTGTCAGCCTCCACAACATCTAGTGGCAATGGAGTTCCACACTTCAAATATATACTGTGTGAAAAAGAACTTCCTTTTGTTAGTTTTAAACTAAGTACCTGCTTGTTTCATTTTGACACCTAGTTCTTCTATTGTGAAAGAGAGTAAATAATACATTCCTATTTCCTTTCTCTTTATTATTTAGTATTTTGTGGGGGGCCGGGGTGGCATGGACACTAAGACACACAGTTGACAACCCAGAAATTGCAAGTTTGAGGCCATTGCAGAAGTACACATGGTACCATGTCTGATTCCAACAATTCTGTGAATTCTGCTAAATACCTTGTCACAAGGACATGAGAAAGAAAGTATTGTGTAAAACCTTATAATGTTCCCCACTCAAGCAATTATTTTCTAAACTGAATAGGCCTAGTCTCTTTTAGTCTCTTCTCATACGAAAGCTCCTTCATACCACTAATCATCCTTTTCTAGTTCTCCTATATTCTTTTTTCAGGTGGGAGACCAAAACTGGGCACAGTATTCAAGGTGTGGATGCACCATGGATTTATAAAGAGGTATAATAATACTTTCTGCTTTGTTCACCATTCCCTTCTTAATAATTCCTAACATTTTGTTTGCCTTTTTTGACAGCTGTTGAACACTGAGCTGATATTTTTAGCAAACTGTCCATAATGACTCCCAGATCTCTTTCCTGTGTGGTAACAGCTAATGCAGAGCCCATCATAATGTTGGTATAGTTTGAGTTATTTTTGCCCATGTGCATCATTTTACACTTATCTACACTGAATTTTATCTGCCATTTAGTTGCCCATTTGCTCAATAGTGCCAGATCCTTCTGTATTTCCTTAGTCCACCTTGGTCTTTACAGCTTTGAATAATTTGTGTCTTTTACCAATTTGGCCACCTCACGACGCACCCCCTTTTCCAGATCATTTATGAACATGTTAAACAGTACTGGTCTCAACATAGATCCCTGTGGGACCTCATTGTTTACTTTTGCCCATCCCCAAAACTGTTTTTAAACCTACTCTTTGTTTTCTATCCTTAAACCAATTTCAAATCCGTAAGTAGGCCTTCTCTGTAATCCCATGGCTACCTAACTTCATTAAGAGCCTTTAATGACCTTGTCAAAGGCTTTTTGGAAGTCTAGATACATTATGTCAACTGGATCACTTTGATCCACTTACTGGTGCCACCTTGGTCGGGGGGGCACGTGCTCCCCCTGCGACCAGTCTTGCTGCCGGGGGTGGAGAGGTCCCCCTGTAGCTGATTTCACTGCCTGGGGGGAGTTCCCTCTGTGGCTGATTGCTGCAGCTGCTTCCCGGAGTGGCTGCGGCTGCTTCTGGGAGCAGCTGCAGCAATCGGCTGATGCTTGCAGGGGGTGGGTAGCAGCACTCCCACCTGCCCCCCCACCCATCACCTAAGCAGTGAGCACGGCTGGTCAGGGGGTGCATGGCCACTCCTGTGCACCCCCTCTGTGTTGCCATTGCTTATTGACACCCTCAAAGAACTCCAGTAGGTTGGTGAGGCATAATTTCCCTTTGACAAACCATGTCCATTCTTCCCTAGCAAGTCATGTTAATCCACGTGCTGAACAAGTGTTTCACTGACCAGTAGTTCCCTAAGTCGCCTCTAGAGCCTTTTTTAAATATGGGATTCACATTAGCAACCCTCCAGTCCCCTGATATCAAGGCTGTTTTTAGTGATATGGTGTATACTAGTTAGGGGTTCAGCAATATCCAATCTAGGCTACTTCAGAACCCCAGGATGAATGCCATCAGGTGTTGGTGATTTGGTACTGATTTTTCTACTTTGAAATGTAAATGGATATTTCAGCAAACAATCTTTATCAACCACTCATGGACCATCTCCTCAATGTTTTTCATACAATTAAGTTAGACTTCCTTGCTTGCCATTATGGCTGTCATTTTAGCAACACACTGTCAAATACAGTAATGAGAAACAACTTACTGATGCATTTGATGAAAATTAAAGAAGATATAGGAAATGAGTTATGGTAATAAGGTCCTAACAATGTACTGTTCAACTATAACCTGTTCAGCCTTCAAAAGAGAAGGCTGAGGGGGGATCTTGTGGCCTGTTATAAACTGGTTAGGGGGGGATCAGCAGGCGCTGGGGGAGTCCCTGTTCCCCCGAGCGCCGCAAGGAGTGACCAGGAACAATGGTCACAAGCTGGCGGAGGGAAGGTTTAAGTTGGACATCAGGAGGCGCTACTTCATGGTCAGGGCGGCTAGGGTCTGGAACCAGCTTCCAAGTGAGGTGGTGCAGGCTCCCACCCTGGGGGTTTTTAAGAGGAGGTTGGATGACCACCTTACTGGGGTCATTTGACCCCAGTGCTCTTCCTGCCATGGCAGGGGGTCGGACTAGATGATCTGCTCAGGTCCCTTCCGACCCTAGAAACTATGAAACTATAACAATGATTCATAATGCTCTTTGTGTATCATACCTATTTTCATCCCACTCGACAACTTCCTGAAATCCAATCACGCTGTTTGAGTTGAATATGCAAAATGTAAATATCCAGCCTTGGAGTCCATTAAAAAAATTCCAAAAATGCAGAAGCATTTGGAGCCCATATTAGCTGCCAACTTTCCCCACCACATTTCAGCTCCTACTAGCCTCAGGAGAGTACTAACATGAGAAACAATCCTTCAATTTAAAGAGGTCATTACAGGGATAGTGTCGCTATTAAACAGCATTACTGAGGGCAATAAAAGGAGTTTATGCTTTCACTTTCTATTTTTATGTACTACAAAGATGGCTTGAAGGGCATTTTTACCCCCCCCCTTTTTTTTTTTTTTTTTTTTTTTTTTTTTTTTTAGGTATTCCTAAATCTTGCTTATACTAGGAGTCTTAATTGGAAGACCCAGACATGTGAAACTGTTTCTCAGCACTTAACTGAATAGGTGGGAGCTGATTCTTTTAATGAAGAGGTCTTTTCTCCCATATGGACAAAAAGGAAAGAAAGTCTGAATAAAAATTAAAAATTACATGAACCCTGTGGTATTCAGGTTTCATTCCCATAGTATCCATGAACCTGCTAGCTCTTTCTTCAATCACCTGTAGCAATTTCCAGGAAAAAAAAGGTTGGTAAGGTTTTAATTTTGAGTGTATAAAAAAATAAGTGTAAAAAGCATCAATGTTGTGAAGAAACCTCTCAAAACTTTTGCACTACTGGTTTAAAAAGGGAAGAAACGTACAGTTTTTTTTTCTGTAAGTCATCCTTAAACTCACCTATCAATTCTAGTAGTTATTCATTACAACTTGGTTTCCAAAGGTTTCCATTGAAATTATTTAACCTCTTGCATAAAAGTTAACTTTTCTTCCAAAAAAAGAAAAAAAGAAAGCTCTCTTCAGCCTTCATCTGCCTTGGTCTGCATTAGAAGACTATTAGTCCAACCACCTCCTCAATGCAGGATTGCTTGGTCTGCATCCCTAGGCATTTAGAGCACTGCTTTAGTAGACTAGTAGTCCAACCACCTCAGTGCAGGATAATCGAACCAGTGGTTCTCAACCTGTTTTGTACCAGGACTCATTTGTAAACATCAATGGCCAGTCCTGACTTAGTGCCCTTCATGCCAGACCTGCTGGCCCCTGCCCCCATTGCATGGGCCGGGAGTGGTTACGTGGGGCAGGGGGGTTGCGCGTGGGGCACGGCAGGCCCCAAGCACCCCCTTGAGGCTGAAACTGTGCCAGCCTGCAAGGAAAAAGCCAGTTTCCCACGTTTTTCTCCTTTAAAGGCAAATCCATTTTTAAAGTTTGTTGGTGACCCTTTCAAATATTCCTGTGACCCACTTTTGGGTTGCGACCCACAGATCGAGATATAGGTGGATTAATGCATGGGCCAGCTGGGCCCGGACCTCGGGGGCTATCATGTCCTGCTCCAGCTGCTGCTACTGCTGCCAGGGATGGGGCCCGTGGTGGTGGGGCAGCACATAGGTCGGGGGGCCCTGGAGTCCCCCAGTGACTCTTAACCCGCCCCGAACAACCATTCTAGACAGAGGCTTATAAAACCTACACTTAAAACTACCAAGGCCAAAGCTCCCGCAACCTCTGTAGATACGCGCATTATTTATCATGGTGCTTCTCCTCAGACGCCTGTCTTGAGTCTCCCCCCCTGCTTCGGTCCGGAGCTTGGAAGGGGGCGGGGCCATCCCTGCTGGCCACGCCCCCTCCTCCACCCCGCGCCGGTAGAATGCGGCAGTGGACTGTACCAAAACACCGCAGAGGGTGGCGCGATCTGAAGTAATTCCCCTGGGACGCGGGGGGGGGGGA